TATACCTACAGTTTTATCTAAACACTTTAATCTAGCTTTTTATTTAATTGAAAATGTTATAAAATCATATTACTAAAGATATTTCATTCTGTCTAGGAAAATGGAATAATAAATTATGAGCAAAGTATACATCAGAAGTATACATCAGCAATCATAATAATATCCTTTTCTAGAATTCTTATTGAACTTTGCTTTTGGCTACCTTTATATTAACTGTTTTCAGCTATATTGATACACAATATCAGTCTGGATCCATTTTTTTTTCAGATACAGAAAAATGTGTGAAATGCTCAAAGTTTCAAATACAGGTACATATGTTTGAAAATTAGCTACTGAGCATAAGAAATAGCTTCTTTTCCATAACTATTTTTTGCTATATTGCCAGGGTCATATTGAATCTTTGTAGTGGCATAATAACCCCTAATACATGTTGTATTTATCCCTCCTCCTCTATGGTTTTGTTTCTTGGCTGTTTCCAAATTGCATGGTTTGTGGGCAGGCACTATTGTAAGTTTCCTTACATTATTCTGCCACATAAACTTTCTTTTGACTTACACATCCCAGGAGACATTCTTATCATGGCTAATGATAATGACCTAGCTTCTTGAGATATTTTTATATAGACTAACATTACTGAACATACTCATTTCGCCTGTCTCCTAAGCCAGGGTTGTTGTGCTAGAAAGTTATAGGAAAAAAATATATATTGATTTACTAATATCACTAACTGTGTACTTTTATGATTATGCATTTTCATGAAATAGCTAATTGAACTTGATAGGATATTATAAGGCAGGAATACGTAAGTTTAATTGTATTATTAAATAAATGAACAAAAACAAAACACAAAAAGAAAAGCAAGTGAAAAACAAGTGGTTTCACTATCAGTAGTAGCATGACAGCCAAATCTGTTTAGGTGCCAAAAGCAATTTAAAATAATTTCATCTTTGATATGCATTTATTAGAGACCTTTAATTAAAGTACAAATATGAGTCAATGATATAGACTCAAATATTTTGCCCCATGTTTTCTTAAATAAAATGTAGAGAATCTGATCGATTGCCAGTATGCAGGCTACATGCTTGCAAAAAAATTGGCAAACATGTTTCCAAAATATATAATTTTGTATTAACATTATGAAGACATTTTCTGCATTTTCAGGTAGGGATACTGTCTTTGATAGTATAAGCCAGATATGAAACATCATCTAATCCCTCTTCAGAATGTCCTGTTTGAATATCCTTCTCCTTTCCCAAGTTTTTTATTTCCACATCTAAGGTATTATCACCTTTTCCTAATATCATGAAGGTTCTTTTTGGCCTAACCTTTTTTCTTCTGGTATCTCTCAATTGATTTTTAATTAGGAAACATTTCCATTTTATGGAGTAATAATTCATTGTAGGAAAAAAATCACAAAAAGAACTACTGCAATGCCAGCAAAACTGTGCATATGATTCTACAATGAACTTAAGTCTAATGTTAAAAATTAATATAAGTGTTCAATTATGGGGCATAAAACTAAAATGCAATTTGAAATGCAATGGTTTTAGTGCTATTAGGACCATTGACTGTTGGGTCAGAATTTAGTTCTCAATACTAATGCTGAAATTGGCGAATCATTGGTAGGATTAGCTAGTTGCCTATTACAATTATAATGGTTCCCATTAAGTTTTCTTTCTACTTCTAAAACATTAGTTCATATAGCATGCATGATTATGTTTATTGACCTTCTTTTTCTCTTTTTTCCTATATGGCCAAGAAACCATACTTATACAACTAATCATTAAAGCGTATCATATTGTCTTAACAATATTATCAATAGATTTAGTGGTCATTTTATTTACTTTGCCTTTTTGCAAATCTTCTTTCTTTGTTTTCACTCTGCAGGAAATGGTGGTCCTTTAATATTGGATTAACTTCTGAATGCTATTTGGTTTTACCTATCTGCAGTATATCATTCCTTGAAATATCTAGGCATTATACAACTTATATTTTATTCCAATCTGGTCTGACTATAGATGAAATTAGAGGGCATATAGTTTATTACTCATGAGCTTTTGAAAATCCACACAAAATGACACATTTTAGGAATATGTAAAGGCTATCGTAATTGTTTTTTTCAGTCATTATTGCATTCTAATGTCTTTTAGGTATTTTTTCTCTGCATTTTTATCTGTGTTTATATTAACTGTTACTGGTGCATTGAATGTATTTCCTTCAATATATTTGACTATATTCAACTCTGGGTTATCTACATGAATGAAATGGGGAAGACATGTGGACCATTCAAATATCACTTATGTTTGAACTGAAATATAACTGTGTACAAAAAATTGAATGCAGGTGTGTTAAGCAAATGGGAAAGCCACTTCAAAATTAATGTTGTAACATTATAAAAATAATTTGGGATGCTGTCTCGTCTTCCAATTTTTAACTCTTCTCAGCTTTTGCTGAAACTTCACAGCATCACTGTTTTCTGGTTGTCCTTTATCATGTATATTTTATCACACGCTAAGCGCAGTTCAAAAATATTTCCTAAGTCAGGGTCTAATTAAAGGATTAAGTTTCAAAGCTCTTTCTTACTACATGTGAAATAAGAGTAACTGGTCGAAATCCAGGAACTAAGGGGGAAAGTCAATGTTATTAATAGAACAGTCTGCATACATCTGCGTATACACACACACACAACTTGTAGTGTGATATCATAAACTTGCATGTATTACTCATATATATAGCTGCCAATAATTACATTCATTTAATTCAGAGTGGAGAACATATGCTATAACTAAAAGAAAATAGGCTAGAAGCCAGACAAACATTTTCAAATTTTAAATCTAGCAATCATTTCCTATCTGTGCCACTTTTAGCAAATTATTTACTCTTTCTTTTTAGAGGGGGATGATGATATCAATGGTGTGATAAAATGAATGAATTAATATGTGTAAAGTGTTTGACATATGATAAACTTGTGATTGGTGTTATTTCTCCTTCTTTATCCAATCACTACTCATGTTCCACATAGAAGGACATGCAGGACAATTAGCAGAGCTCTATCATTTGCCCTAATTACACTTATGGATCTAATTTCCTCTGCCTGCTCTGATCCCTCTGTGTTGGAATATAGGAATGGTAATAACTTTTCAGCATCCTTTTTTTGTGTGCATCCTGTAGATGTCACCATCCCTGGAAGTTCACAATGTGACTTGTACCGAAAGTTTGACTGGTCTAAAAGGAAACATGGGAAAAGACCACAGTTCCTGTGGGTAGGAGCTCTCCTGCCAAATGAAATTTATGAAAATTTCAGTTATTTCATTTGCTTTTCTTAAATCTTTAAATTAATTTTCTGAGAATTTTTAAAACTGGCTTTCTTTTTTTCCCAATATAAATGGCATATTCCTTTCCAGAGATATGCTGTAGAAAAATAACATATTCATGTAGAATTTCTGCAGTCTTATTCTGAAAATTAACAAGGAAAATCTTTATCCTATTATATCTAGGACATTTAACTTTAAAACTTTGGTTAGTATCATTTTTGCCTTGTTCTTTTCATAAATGCCTATTGGTTCAGCATCTCTAACTATTAAACAGAATATATTAACTTCCGCCAGTTTCTGCTAGTTTATTATGTAAAAATTCCAGAATTCTTATCAACTTATAATGAGACTAATGAGCCAAATTTGCAGGCATTATGGTGTGAAAAGGCAACACTAAACTAAAATTCAAGAGTTCTGAACAATTCATTAACCTCTTTTTGGCTTAGGCCACAGTTCATGCACATATAAAATAAGGGGGCTATATTTCAGTTTTCTTCAAACTCTAAAGGAATTATAGCAATGATAATGGTGTGCATGAGGCCATTACTGTGCCTGGGGACAAAATGAAAATAGTAACCAAAGTGAGCAAACTGGTTGGCATAAAAAATGTTCAAATATAGGGAATGTATCCTGCTCTCATAAAAGCAGATTGGCTGATAAGCATAGCACAGAAACAGAAGATTTTTGCTTCATTAATTGTCTAGTGAGTTCTCTTAAAATTATAATAATGATGATAGTAATAACAATAATAAAAAAGGATCTGTAGTCATTGGATGTCATGTTGCTATGATTTGAAAATAACAATCAAAGAAGGAGAGCCTTAAAAATGGCTATCAAATGTCAGCAGATTTTCACTCCTCTCCATTTGTTCTAATGATTTTGCAGTAATCTGAGCTGAATTATGAGTGGGTAACTCCTTAAATTACAATACACC